ATATTGCGGAATTTGTGGCCAAGTGTCCTAATTGTCAACAAGTGAAAGTTGAGCACCAAAGGCCGGGAGGTTTGTCCCAAGACATTGCTATTCCTACTTGGAAGTGGGAAGACTTGATATGGACTTTATAGTTGGTTTGCCTCGCACTTGGTGACAACATGACTCTATTTGGGTGATAGTAGATCAGATGACGAAGTCGGCTCATTTTCTTCCCGTCAAGGTTCTTATTCGGCGGAGGACTATGCCAAGATGCACTTGAGAGAGATGGTAAAATTTCATGGAGTGCCTTTGTCTATCATTTCCGATCGTGGTACCCAATTCACTTCTCAATTTTGGAAGTCATTCCAAAAGGGTCTTGGTACCAAGGTTAAGCTTAGCACGACTTTTCATCCCTAAACCGATGGGCAAGTGGAGCGTACTATCCAACTTTGGAAGACATGTTAAGGGCTTGTGTGATGGACTTTAAGGGTAATTGAGAGGACCATTTGCCATTGATTGAATTTTCCTATAATAATAGTTATCATTCAAACATAGGTATGACTCAGTTTGAGGCATTCTATGGTAGGCAGTGTATATCTCCTATAGGATGATTTTAGGTGGGTAAAGTTGCATTGATAGGTCCTGAGCTAGTTTATGAAGCTATTGAGAAAGTTCGGCTCATTAGAAAGAGGTTGAAAACATCTCAAAGTCGACAAAAGTCTTATATTGATGTTAGAAGAAGGGATCTTGAGTTCGATGGTCATGAATGGGTTTACTTGAAAATCTCACCTATGAAGGGGGTAATGAGGTTTGGTAAGAATGGGAAGCTTAGTCGACGGTACGTAGAGTCATATCAATTTTTGAGGCGTATTGGTAAGGTTGCCTATGAGTTAGATTTGCCAAATGAGTTAGCATCGGTGCATCCGTTTTCCATGTCTCTATGCTTAAAAAGTGTGTTGGAGATCCAACATCCATAATTCCCCTAGAAGGGTTGGGAGTTGATGAAAGTCTCACTTATGAGGAAGTTCCAGATGAGATTTTGGACCGACAAGTTAAGAAGTTAAGGAATAAGGATGTTGCTTTCGTAAAGGTGTTATGAAGGAATCATTTAGTTGAGGGTGCCACTTGGGAGGCCGAGGAAAATATGATGTCCTGACATCCTCATCTCTTTCCTTCTACTCCTAATCTAGCTTTAGGTAATGAGTTCCTCTCGGTTTGTTTTATGTTTGGAGTCATGTGTGTTGTATGTGTTCCATGATCTCCTTAAGTTATGCATGTTCATGAAAGCTTATGTTTTAAAAGAAAATGAGTTATGTGATTGGTTTTCCTCATGTTGTTGTGCATTAAGTATGAGTTGCCTATATGTTTCATGAAATGGATTGTTGAACACACTTTAGTTATGCTTTTTGAGAGTAAATTGCATATCGACTCCGCGAGATTGTGTTGAGCATGCTTTGAGCTCGGAGAAGGAACTTCCTCCTTAAAATATGAGAAATTTGAAATGTTTCATGTATAATGGGTTGTTAGATGTAGTTCCTACTTCCTTGCGATGCATTGAATATGTTTAGTTTGGAGTGATGTTTCCTCCTTCGTTTTGTGCATTGTTATAATGTTGCATGTATGATGGGATGCTATTCTTGAGTTTTGACTTCCATAAAGTGTCTAGAGCGTCATTCGAGGATGAATGTTCCCAAGGGAGAGATAATGTGACACCCCGAAAACTAGTAGGCTAAACTAGAGCTAAACGTGAGGGTTAGAACCATGGAAGAGGGCAAGGGCTAAGAGAGAGGACCAGGGCAGTCCAATCTCCCCTAGACACTGCCCAAGCAACCACAACCACCACCACGGCTCGTGGTGAGGACCACGCCTCAAGGGTTGGCTCGTGGTAGGATAGGCAGTAGCCTTCTCTAGCTGCCCAAAACAGCCTCCTCCACACAAGCCACTTCACGGCTCATGATGATGACCACGACACGTGGGAAGGCTCGTGAAGTTGAGGCAGTAACTAGGCTACACTGCCCCAAGAGGAGACCCTCACCACGAGAGCCTCGACGGCTGGTGAAGGCCACCACAGCTCGTGGAAGGTGTCGTTAGCCTGCCTTAGATTTTAGGGGTGGAGGTAAGGTTGACCAAGCTACTGGTCCATCACCACGGAGGGGACCACGGTTCGTGGTGAGGACCACGGCTCGTGGAGCCCCTCGTGAAGTGAGGTTGTACACTGGCAAGTGGGGGCTAAACTAGTCTTTTCCGATTTTAATTAGACTTAAGATATGTATTTTGTTTAACCCTAGGACACCTATATAGGTCATTTTAACCCTTTGAACACTCCACTCAAGTCATTATTTCCCAAAATCCCAAATTAGATCCCGAAATTCCTCATCTCAAATATTTCTCTCTCTAGAAACTAGAAGAAAAAGGAATTTCAACTAGGATCAAGGTCAAGGTTCAGTTCCTCCATTGAAGCTTAGCATTGGGCTTTGTTGTTAAGGTATGATAGCTTTCATCCATGGACATCTTCCATCCATAGAGTTCCTTCAAAATTCAATTTCAAAAGAAAGATAGAAATCCCCCATTGTTAGGGTTTGATTCAAAAGTCATGGGTTCCTTTCAAACTTGATTTTAATGGTTGAATTATATTATTATAAGCATTAATTGATGATTTCCTACGGTTTTTATGATGTATCTCCAAGAACCCATGTAATTCCCATATTTCTCAGTTTTGATCTTATGATGTGGGTCTTTGTTGATGAAAGGTGAATTTGATGAATTGATGCATGAAGTGATAGAATCATATGAATTATAATGAAATCCATGTCTAATACTTGAATTCTAGATGTGATGGTTGAAAGTAGGTCTTGAACCTTGAAAGGGTAATTTTATGAGATTATGCATGTTATTATGAAATTTATGTAAATGCTTTCCTGATGCTTGAGAGTAAATTGTCTATGATTTTGATGATGTTGTTGTGTTGATTGAAAGGCTATTCTCATGAACACATAATGAACATGATGTGAAAGGCTTTATCACATAATGACGATTCTAAGGTTGAAAGGATTTCTTACCTAATTGAATCTAATACTTACAAGTGGACATGGACGGTGAAAGGTTTTTCTCACGCATGATCTAATAGCTATCCCAATGACCTCTTTTGGATTGATTGTCAAGGACATCCTTCCATAAGACATGAATCAAGTTAAGACTTAATAAGTACTCCGTGGGATTAATGCTAAGCACTGAGTGGATATTGAATATGAGATGGAATCTTTCCCGATAGAAAGTTCGGGTTTCTAGAAGCAATCTCTTGAGATGGAAGCTCCCCCGATAGAAAGTGCTCCGGGTTTCTAGTAACAATCTCCTTATCCCATAAACTACGTGCCCCTGTAGAATATTTAGCTAGTGGATTCACCTAAGCTAACAAATCATGGTTCTACCTTAAGCAAGTAGGACAACCATTTTCGGTGTGGGTAAGACCAGGTGATCATGTTATAGCTCACATGGTCTCATGTTGGTTAAGGCTTATTCCACAACAAGAACATGAATAATGAACTAAGGTTATTACATGAAGTATTGTTTATGAGTTCAAAGGTTTTCAAGATGATGTTGACCTACATTGGCCATGTTGTATGACTTATGATTTCTAACCTCTTATATGATGTTTAAGCTTGGTGAATTGCATGTCATGAAATGAAACATCCCTTTTAGCATGTTTTAATGTTTTTATGCATAGTTATCATACTTAGTGTATTTTTGTACTAACACATACTCCTGCCTACATTTTTTCCAAATGTAGGGTCCGACAGTCAGGGTCAGTTTCATGGCTAGGTGTTGATCTTTAGATTCCGAGCTTTGGTGAGTCCTCATGCTTCATAGATGGAGTTATTGTTTAGTTTCCATTTTGTTGTATTTCTACTTTTGGACATGATGTATGGGATAGGCCCAATTTCATTCAATATTGTAATAGATGGCTATGATGAGACAGGTGTCTAGACTTCTGCTTTCTTTTATGAAAAACTTTTTAAGACTTGAAATATTTTTTACTCTTATTGTTCTACTAGTCATGGGCACGTGCGTTGCACGTGTGAGCCATGCTAAGTTGTCTCGTTCTCTATCGAGAGACATTTGTAAAGTTGTGTTGTCATGAGTGCGTACAATACTATTGATGTAGTAGAAGTGTACATTGTGTTAAATAGTCTTTTCATGGGTGCATAAGTTATTATTGATCTTTTAAAGGGATAAAGATTTAATTGATGCATTTCATAATATGTAGGATATTTATGTGCTAAATTATAAATGTCAACATCAACTTAATATGAAGCATGAAAGTACTGTAAATTATGAATAATAATAATATTAAAACATTAGAATGCAATACAATATCAACAAACAAGAAACTTAAACATGAAACCATACAATGTTTGGTTAAATGTCACAATTTATGTGAGAGGATTGAGGGACTCAAACAATTATCATGAATATGACATTAGCACATTGAGGAGTGTGGGTCAATGAAAAATCGATTATGTCTGCATAGGTGTGTCTGTGTCTTCTAAACCTGAGATATGAAGCAATGTAATATTGTTAGGACTCCACGATTTGTAAAGAGTTAACTATCTATGTTACAATGGACATTTATGTATATGAGGTTATCGTACCTAAAACTTCTTTATAGACGATGTTCTTTGTGTATGTCCCATTTTGGCATTTGGGTTGTCCTGTTAGGACAAGTACTTTTGTTGTGGACATAGATATCCCTCTTGAGAGCACAACGTATACAACTGACCATGTGAGAAAACATGTTGGGGTAAATACAAACCAACGTTTGGAATTGTTTGAGCTTGTGCTTTATTTATAGTCATTGCAAAGCAAAGACGTACTGGAAATTGCTTTCGAATAAATTTAAATGGATAGCCTTCATTTTCTGGTGGTGACAATTGAATTCTGGGAAGAAACACATGCTTTGTTGCACAATGACCACTTGATATTTCGGCATGCAAGACATTATGGGCAAAGCCACGACATATAATTCAGGTGCCATTGCATGAGTCAATTGAAGGGTCTAAATTCGTCAATAGCATGATGGGTGCATTTTCCTTTAATTCTAACCTGCATTTAATAAGATATGTCAAAATATATCCATATTGATTTTTGTTACCGCCTCTTCATGATTGTAATTCATAATGTATTTTCTGCAATACCTATGTGGCGGCAGTTCGTTTGGTGTTAAAGTATTTATATATTCTTCTTGGTAATAGTTGTTGGTGTCATCTTCTGCCGAGTCAAAGCTATTGAATGTCTTGCTTTCACCTGGGAACATGGATATTAACTTGTCATTAAGATTGTCCACATGGTCATTTCTGCTTGCTAAGATAGCTCGTTTGGTGACATATGTTGACCTAGTAGCATTTTCTTGTAGGTTTGGAAATATCTCTTTTATTATAGATTCTTCTGGAATTTCATCCCTACAATGCTTGATAGTTAATTGTTCTGGAAGAAGGATTAAAATGTCTCTTATTGTTGGTTCATCTCTGTTACCCACGCGAAGTAAGAACTCACTGAATGTTGGATCCGTTCTTTCTCTCATATTTCTCATAAATTGAATCTTCTCCATCAAAGGCCAGAGATATGATTTCACCAAGCTTGCATTTACAATTTCTACTCTAGTTGATTTTGGAACTACACCTGACGAAAATTTCCTCCAAAAACCATGACTTTCCCACCAAATGGTTTATCAATGTCCATTATATCTAAAGCTCCTGTCGACTGTTTCTATTGTTTGTCGCTTGGCCATTGGGGCTTCATCCCATATAATCACTTCTGCTTTTCTAATCAATTTGGCAACACCACTTTGCTTTGACATATTTGTCATAGTCAACTCATTTGTTCGTAGGGGGATCTCAAACCTCGAGTGTGCTGTATGTCCTCTCGGTAAAATTGAAGCGGCTACGCCACTGGTTGCTGTAGCCAAAACTATCATACCTCTTGATCTAACATTGGCAAGCAATGCACGATATAGGTATATTTTTCCAGTTCCCCCAGGTCCATCCACAAAGAATATTCCAATTGTTCTAGTATCAATTTTTTGCACTATTTTTGTAAAAGCCTACTCTTGTTCTGGATTTAATTGTGATTGTGCATCAAAATCTTTTGAAGGTATTTGCACAAAAAGTTCTTCATTTATTTCTCTACATTCTGATGGACAACCTTCGAGCATTTTGTGATCTAGTTGAGGAATATCATATATGTCTACGATTTTGCCCATACTTTCCAAATAGTGATTAATACTCTTAAGGGTACACATAGTATTGTGTGAGTTGCCATATAACCTGCTGAAGTCCTCAGACATATCCTCATAATAAGTATCCCAGAGTTTTCTAATATCCATTGGGTTACAATGAACCGAAATTGTAGCAAACAAAATTCGAAGAGCTGAAGACATTTTGAAGATAACAGCCTCTCCTAAACACAAATTGATATACAGTTATTGAACTCTAGTAACCCTCTTTCTCTGGATGCTTCTTTGAAGGTATCACATTGTCTGCCGTTGACAGTGAGTAAGTCATTGAATGACAATGGTCCTCTTACATGGTTTAGTAATAACCTCTCATAATACATTTTCCCTTCTCGAGGATTAGCTATACAATTTAACGAATATTTAGTAATAAGTTTAACAATTATCGATCTGTATGAAGATATAGTTTACTACATTTGCCTTACCAATTGCAATGCGACCAATTACAGATCTTGTTTTCCTTTTTGTCCAAATCTTTCCCTTGGGATTCCAAACATAATACTTAGGAAATTCTCTATAAAGGTATGCTCGTGCTTCAATGTCAATTGAGCACATCCTGAAATACTCGGTCAACATTTTTTGCTTGACACCATCCCAGGCGAAGGTATTTTGTAAATTTTGCTTCTTCCAGTAAAATATTGTGAGCTCAGTTAGAGTTAGTATTTGTATTGTGACTAATATATTTAGTATTTTAAAGAAATTGTGTTTTGTTATGCGTTAATATGTGTACCTGAATGTTTTACTGGAAGATGCAGCTGAAAGGTTGATGACTGGAGGTTGCATTTCACTCAAGTTGAATTCATATATTCTCTATAGTGCTTCGGGCGGTGAAACCCACCGTGCATCTTGGAAAGTCTGAATCTCGTCAATAACTTTTTCACCATCATCAGACTGAACATAAACATCACACTAATTATGACCTTTATATATATATATACTTGTATAGATACTCTATTGCTTTGACTCTGAGCAGACTTCAACATTAATATGACAATTGTATCTTGTGAGCAGATAAGGGATATAAGGTACCACCTATTGATTAGTCATATTCCTTCCACAAAACTCTCTATCCTTTCATCCCTTCTTCTTTTATAAATTGGATATCTGTCCTTTGCTTGAATTGATTTGTTGTTGTATGGACTAGGATAATGATATTTACATTGTCCATTTTGCATGCACGTGTTTGTTGATCGTTTGTTTCCACATGGACCATGCATCATATGTCTGAGCACTAATTCATGCAAGATGGGATACTAACATTTATCTGGAATCTTTGCTGAGATAAACTTATTGTACTGATCTCCTGATTTCATCTTGTGCCCTTCTTTTAATATGACAAGGAGGTGTATGTGTGGTAGTCCTCATTTTTGGAATTCTATCACGAATACATGAGCAGCTACAATTCCAAATATTTCTTTCTTAAAAATTTGATCTTTTAGATCCTGCAACTTAGGTTGGAATACTCTTGTTACCAAGTCAGGCCTATCTTGAGGAATTTATCTGGGAAGCAGTTCTCTTTGGATGTCAATCTAGTCAGGATTACACGTCATTGTTATGAATAGATCTGGCCTTCCAAAATGTTGTACCAAAGCCATTGCATCCATATATCGTCTTCTCATATCTTGTGGACCCCCAATAAAAGGTGATGAAAGTAGTATTCTTTGCCCAATTCTATCTCCCATGTATTCTCTCGCACTGACACTATCAACGATACCTTTATAAACTTTTCTTCTAAAATTTGATTGTTCGTTTTTGAAATACTCTAGCGTTGTTGTTTCCAATTGTTGTAGTAATCTTCCACATAGCAGTAATACTGACCTCTCTGTTTCTTGTAGTTGTAGTTTATAACAATAGTACTCTCTACAAGAAACATCTCCTTTTCTCTCACGGCGGACATCTACAAGTGTTAGAAATCACATAGGTATTAGTTATATTTTATGTTACTTACAATATTGGTATAAATGAAAAGTGTATTGTATGATAATTTTAAAGATATGTCCTATTCTATGATGTTCCTTTTTAATGTGTTATGGATACTACGTCTTTGGATTGACTTCAATGTAAAATAATGTTTAATAGGAGTAATTGATGAAAAATAGTTGGATTTTGTACCTTTTGGTATCAGCATTTGGATATAGGAAAATAGTGTACGTAATACTTAATGTGAGGAAAACTATTGTAATATTGTTTTTGATATGCATCTTAAAAAGTGACATTTTTGTCTATTTTATTTAAATTTGATAAGTGTAATATACCATATATCTAGAAAGGAAACTAATGTAAGATGATTGTATTCACATAAGTTTGGGAAAACTAAAACTATAAAGATCATGTGGGGAGGTAATTAATATTTGGTGGTATTTAAGTAAATTTTAGTTAGTCCTATTTCTCATGTCACAAGTGTTAATCCTAATATGTTGTTCGTACTAACCTTCGTTGGTAAAATACTTACATGAATTTTTATCATTATCTTATATTGTGTATTTGTTTTTTTCAATATCTAACTTGTAAAGAATGTGAGTAAATTTTTACTATAAGAGGGTGGAAGGTGATACACATTACCTTGATCCTCGTTGGCTAACACTGCATCAGTTGATATGAATGTTGGGGAGTGGCCATTTCTTGTGTGAGGTTGTATTTTGTGTTGTTTTCTTATTCCTTGATGACATCCGCCTTCACCTCTTGGGAAGAGCAAAGGATATTGAAGAGGGTCATAACAACCGAAATAGTGTTTGACTCTATGTTTGTTCCCTGAATGTTCATGAACAATTATTTCTCCCTCAAAAGGTATATTTGGATTGTTTCCATCTATCCAAATTGCTACAACTTGATTTACTGAGGGTGTTTGTACACTCGTTGATCCAAAGAGGCATTAGCAGCAATGCGAAGTTGGAAATTATGGAAACTTGATTGGTCTTTTAGTTGGCAAAATATTTGCGCATATGGGTTTCCCTCCATTAGTTGTTTGATTTTTTTTTTGTAATTTTGTCTGACAATATTCCTTCTTTCACCTTTGATATCCTATTGGTCAACTCGTTGTCTGTATCAAAGAAGTATAGTTGGACGTAACAAGGATTGTTATCACGTAGCACCAATGATGGTAGATCGTGATAAAATTGACCTTGTGCTCTGAATGTGTATGCTCCTTTTCTTGCAGATGCTATTTCCTTATCAAGGTTAACACCAAAAGATGTAAAAGCAAAGATGCTATCATATGCACAAATATTTTTGCGAAAGTCTATAACGTTTGCAGTAGAAGCCACAAACATTTCATATAGTTCTGATGGAGATTCAGTGGTTGCTAATTTTATATATCCACTTGCACAACAGAATGTTAGAGGTTCATGTTCAAATCTTTTTGCAGAACAATAAATACAGTCTGGGACGATTTTTAGCACGTGCAGATATGATAAAGATAAGTTGTAAGCAACAGCTCATACATATATAAATACGGTGGGAGAAATATGTTAAAAGTACATATTCTTAAAAGTATTGAATGTTCTAGTTATATATGATATGAATTGGTTTTTTCCAATGTACCTCTACCTTCACACTCTTCAGATAATGCTCTAAATAGCCAATTTATTTTAGGTTGCTTCTTCAAACGTGGATGCTCATCTTGTAAATGAGCTATTGTTTGGCTTGCTAACATAGATTTTTCCACCTTTCGCAATGCGCTTTGCAATTCCTTTTTCTCTATAAGAGGAAGACCATTTTATACAATTAGACAAAGCATGTAATACTTATGTATGTCTGTATGCAAATGTGTTCACCCTGTACGAACTACTCATGTATGTAGAATTTGACATAATTATCTAAGTTCTTACCTGTCTTGCTTATATCATTTTTTGTGTGGTTGTCATGATAATTTGCTTTACTGGTAGATGGAATGGTTTTTCCTCTATCTCCTGTTGGATTTGACATGACAAGACAATAGTTTGCAATGGCTATTAGAGTAAGATAGAGTGAGTACTATATGTAGTATGTACATGAAATGTGTATTTAAAAGCATTAATTTGTGAAAATCAAATATAAATATAAGTTACTTAAGTAGTGGGTATGTAGAATTTGACATGATTATCTAAATTCTTACTGTCTTACTTATATCATTTTTTGTGTGATCGTCATGATGATTAGCTTTACCGGTAGATGGAATGGTTTTTCCTTTATCACCTGTTCGATTTGACATGTCAAGAGAATAGTTTGCAATGGCTATTAGAGTAAGATAGAGTGAGTAGTATATGTAGTATATACATGAAAAGTGTATTTTAAAACATTAATTTGTGAAAATC